GGTAAAGCACATGATCTTTAAAAACTCAACAGAATTGGAAAGATGGCCCGTGTTGGTTGGGGCTGGTAACTTGAGCTGCTGTTGCTTTATCAGCCTGACTGAATTTCCTACTGAGTGTAACCCTGACTGGGGTGGAAAATGAGGAGTTAACAAGTGCTGCTGTCGTTACTACGCAGGAATTCTCATGTAGCAGCAGACAGATATTTGACTTGATCTGACTTGGTTCAGTAAAATGTTGGATTTCCCATGGGAAACAGGAACCTCCAGTAAAAACTGGAATCAGTTTTCCACCGTTGTAGATGCAGTCAATGGTGGCAGGAAATGCCACACTTGAATTGCCTATTGGTAGCAACTTTCTGAAGTGCTTTTGACCATTATTTGGGCCACTTGGATGTTCCAGGCAAGTGTCTCCAGACACTTCTGAGTGTCTCCAGAAGCTCTCCTTGTGAAGCTTGGTTTGGAATTTATCTTTGGAGATTAAATATTATTCTGAAACAAAGTTGTAAAATTCGTTTGAAATCATATATTGAAAGCCCAAATCTTTGAAACCTCTCTTGATAGCAATTTTGGTTATCAAGCTTCATGTGTGAAAATCGAGGCAGGTTATCTGTGAAATCGTGCGGTGGTTGGTGCTTCCAGGTTTCAGTGTGGTCTGTTTTGTTTTTAACTTGTCTCACAGCAACTTGTGTTAACTGGATACATGGTGAGTCCTACAAGCTGTGAAAAACGTTCTGGTTAAAGGTTTTCAGTTGCTGCTTTGATGTTTTGTTGATGCGTTTTCTTTCAGAAGAAAAAGACACACAGAATGGGTTGGGAGAGCCCCATTTGTGTTCTAGAGCCCTGTTTGTATTCTAGAACTCACCTCCTGTTGTAAAAGTAATTTATTTTGAACATAAATAATGCTTAGAGCAAAATCCAGGTCTCTTGCAGTGTAGTCAACTTCCCTGTTGAAACTAGGAATCTAGTTTCTGTAGGAAATGCTGTATGGTGATTGTTTGTAAAGAATATCAAAACTTGGAGTTCCACTCCTCTGACTTAATTCTGGTAACTTAGGAAGCTTTTTTTTTTCCTCTGGGGTAAGCTGCTCATGAAACTGCAGTCTCAAACTAATACAGTGTGGAGGTATTTTTTCCTCAGCTGTCAAACTTACCAGACTTTGGGGGAAAAAAACCATAAGAGCATCTACAGCTGTTATTTCAAAAATAAATTCAGTTTAACCAGGAGACCTGTAAATATTTTGTGTTCTGAAGTATTGGTGTTTTTGCATCCTTACATCATCTTGGTTGTAACTCAGGACTGAAACAGCTTCTCAGGACTTGTTGGGGGGGGTGTCTGTGTATATATAATTAGAAATTGTATCCAGACAGTGAGTGTGAGAACTGTGATGGGTTTTGAGAGGTTTTCAACTTCATATTTAATTAAATTGATACAGTTTAAGTGTTTTACCTTTTTGATTTTTTTTTCCCTGCCTATTTTTTTGAGGCAGTGGGAAGACTGATTTGGTTTTGGGGTTTCATTTGGTCATTTCTGGGCAGTTTTTGCTGCAAAGTTAAACAGATGAATGAGTGAAGATGATGGTGGAGGGCAGAGAAATTACAATGTACAGATGTAAAACAGGTTAATAAACTTCTGGTTTGTAACTTGGCTTTTCTTTTGCTTCAGTGCAAAATGTATTACAGAGCTAATTTAAATTTTGGATTTTCTTCATTGCTTGGTGCTGTCAAAAGCATCCATGCAGGTTTTGAGATATCTCAGAAAACAGACTTGCAATGTCCCCTTCATCTTTGCTTGTAGTGAACTTTGCATTACAAAAGGGTCACTTCAGCTGGTTGAAGAGGTTACCTTGTCCCCTTGCACCTTGTCACACACGCTTGTGCTGCTGTCATTGCTATAACCATATCACTGAAATTATCTGGTTAAATATAGAGCCTCCCTCCTGCTCCTGACCCCCTTTTTTGAGGGTTATTTTTAATCTGATGATTCCAGTGATCCAGTTTAGAGCACAGCACTGTAAATGACTGTACAAGCACAGCTGAGTGGTCAGGCATTTTTAAAACCACTGTTGGTTTGGAAGGTAATGTCATGGGACTGCGTTTTTTTGTTTTCACTTCAGGATGACATTTTTTGGCAGTTCAGAGGAGGTAAAGAGAACTTGGGTGTGAGGGGAAGGTGTTTGTCGCCACAATAAGTAACTGAATTTTAGATTCCTATTCAAGTAAAATCCAGGGCATAGTAAAGCAAGGAACACCAACACCTTCCCCCTGCCCCTGGGAGCCTATTTGTAGTGCTTTTCTCCCAGGAAACTCCAGAATACTTGAGGTTTCTCAGTGGAAAAAGCTGGAGCAGGGTGGCCTACTGCCTGTATAACTGGGAGCTGCTGACTCATGAGCTGTTCAATACACAATTTATGTGCTCACTTTGCCACTGGATTATTATTTTTTCTGCTGGTTTAGCTTTTATGCTTGGAGATCTCTATCTGATGAGTGAGGGTGAGGTTCTGTAAGGGGGTAGAATCAGGAAAATCTTTCCCTCTGGCAGGCACTGCAGTAGGTTGCTAAGCAGGAATTTTACTGCAGTTATTTTACAGCACTAATGCTGCTCTTAGGTTGCTGATAGAGTTTAAAAAGGAGGCATTTTACTTAATATTTGTGTATAATGCAGCCTTTGGATCTCAGAGTGTGTTTGGGATGATAGGAAAATGCTTACTTGGCATTTGAAATCTTTGTGATAATGTCCAACTAAATGCACATTTGCTTGTCCTCTGCATTGCAGCTGACAGGGCTTTCCTTCCACTGCTTTTACCTTCCCATCTGAATGTTTTTAATGAAGAACAAGTGAAGACAAGTAACTTTTCTTCTATTCCTTTGTTTTTTACTTGAATAAAACTAAGCAAAGCATTTACATTAGATTTCTAAATAATTGACCATTTAAGAAAACCTTGTGCATTGTTAAACATGTAACTGCAATATCTTAATCTGAAAACACCAGCTATGCTGAAATGCAGCAGCATGGAAAAAGTATACAGGAATTGTAATTATTTAGGAGATTTTTGTCTCTTCCCACCCTCATGCCCTTAGCCACCAGAATGGATTATATGAGTGCTTTGCAATATATTTTGCAATATATGTTTTCTCGAACAAAGTAGTGTTCTGGAATATGATCTGTTTGTTTTACTGTTGTTTATGGGTTTGTGTTGCAGACTGGCTCACAGAATTGGTTGGGGTTGTTTAATGCATTTTTGTAGACTGTGTTTAAACTGGTGCTTGCAGTGTGTTTACTGTGCAGCCTCCCAAACAATTGCATCAGTGTGACCAAGGGAATTGTGATCTGCAGCAGGGGAGTCAGGGACTCCAGCGAGTAGGAGCTTAGTTTAACATTTCCTTGTGTGCAAGCCGGTTTTTGTAGGATTTAAGCCCCCTTAGGCAGGGAAGGTCTGGGTAAGCCTGGCTTTGCTCTGGAGCTCTTTTCCCCTCCCTTTTAGCTTCACAGTTCAGCCACGCTCAGAGAATGATGAGAACTGTTCTGTGATTGCCCAACCATGTCAGCATCTGTTCTAAAATCAGTGTGGAGAGGAGTAAACTAACCTTACTTCCTGTTGTGGGAGATCTGCAATGTGGCAAATGCTCTTCAGGGCTGCTTTTTTGGTGTTATGAACTGTGGCTGCTGTCTTTAACATCTGTTATCATGTAGTGTCTGTCCCCAGCAGGAAATTCCCAGTAATATATTTTTGAAGCTCAGGAAGTTCTTCCTTTGACTTTGCCTTTGACTTTCATCTATCAGATGAAGAAGTTAAATTTTATATCTGACCTGTAGGACTTCCAAAGAAATAAGCTGGGCATTAGGTGACATCAAAAGGCCTGAGTCTCATAACGGTGCTTGTGTTTCAGCAAGTGATGCTGGGCATCAAATACCTTATAAGAGGGGCTTTTCTGGTAAACGTTGGCAGACTTTGAGCTTTCTAAAAGGTCTGAGACTGAGCATAAAAGTTGAAATAACTAAAAAAATATCAGTAAAATGAAACAAAGGCCAAAAACAAAAAAAAAAAGTCACTTGGTGGCAAATATAAACCCTAAAACAGTGGTTGCAGCAGGGATTTGATTCTTTCACATCAAAAATTAGGTGTTCCTCTCACTTTTCATGTTATGCTAGATTGGGAAGATAATAGTTAAGGATTCATTTTAATAACTTTTTTATTCGATCAAGGCAAATTTCATGCAAAATACAATTGTGTGATAATACAGAAATGATGAAAACAGGCTAATAATTAGGTATGTCCTTCTTACAGGCTTCGTTTTGAAGACCCTTTCTCCTTAGCCTGTAGAGTCTTTGTGTTGGGCATGCAGGAGTTTTACCTGCTTTTTTGGTCATGTCAGTGTTCTGCATGAGTTTCTATTTAAGCAGATTAGAGAACTGATCTGCTGAAAATTAGCCTAATGATTCCTTTTTCAGTTTCTTCCCATGAAGAAAAAAAATCCTTAATGCTCTTGAAGGAAACTGTTTCAGAGCTATTAATATGAATTGTGTTGGTGGGCATTCTTGCACAGAGGATCAGAAACTTTTGAATTCTTAACAGCTCTTTTAACTGATGCGACTACGGAGAATTACAGTTCTGAATCCTCATAGAGTTGACAGTGGAGGTTTGCAATCATGTTTTTGGTGGTGTAGTGATACAGTGGTAATGAGCTCTAACTCAGACCTCAGTTCAGCTCTCTGATGTTTAGACTGAAGGAAATGTGTATGAGAGTGATGTTCCCTTTGGGAGGAATGCGTATTTCCTTAGAAATTCACTCTAGTCATGAAGACATACTGTGATAACCAAATAAAGGTTAAAATATTTATCCCTTAGGGAAGTATTTACATTTTTTTAATCCAGAAGACAATTTTTCTCGGTGGTCTTTTTACATTACAGTTTTCATGCTTGTGTAAGGTATTACTCTGTTTACTGGAATATTACAGTACATAATTCTGTTGGCACAAGTAGAAAAAAGCAGTAACTGGATTTAGACTGTTCATAACAGTGTTTTTCTTGCTTTTCAGAGCAAACTTGATGATTACCAGGAACGAATGAACAAGGGAGAACGTCTGAATCAAGATCAACTGGTAAAAACAACAACAAAAAAATACTATCCAGATCTCTGTTAAATTGTTCTGTGTTCTTGCAGGGGAGGGAAGGGATGGATTTCACTTCCCCTGTGTAGTTTAGTTAGAGATGCAGCTCAGACCAATAATAAGCTCTGTCTGTGTGTCTGTCCCAGCTCTCAGTGCAGATGTGGAGCTCTAGATGAGCTCTGTGCTGCTTCTCTTCTTGTTGGGGCTGGTTCTTAAAGTAGGTTCTTGGAGAGCTCAATTCAACAGCAGTTTTGCAGTTGTTGTAAATACAGAACAAATAACAATTTAAATTCAGTTGTGTGATGCAAACATGCATATTGATACTTGAAGAGATTACCAGATGCTCAGTAATCAACAGTGTTTTCTTGATGATTTTTAACACTGAGAAAGTGAAGCAAAAAAAAGGTGCTTGCAGCTATTGCAGCTGTTGACACTTAAAAGATTATGGGCTGCTTCCCTTGGTCCATGTGCTCTTTTCATCTGCCAGGGCTTCCTCACTTGGGCCTTTCTGTGCCAGCTGAAAACTGAAATATCTCTGTATTTTTATTTTGTAATGGCGTCTTGTGAAGATAAAGGTTGCTGTTTGAGGAGCAGGGCAGAGAACTGATGTGTCATATTGAGGAGGGACGCTCATGATTAAGTTTTAGGAGGGCAATAGCTTGACTACCAGACTTGAGAAAGCCTAGGAAAATCAAAATTTTACTTACCATAGTTGCAGTCCCATTCAGGGATGCTGTGTCTCACTTAGAAACTAAAAATGTGGGAATCTATTTGTTAAAAGTCTGTGGGGTTTTTTTCTATTTGTGATGATTTACATTTACTTGTGGTTTTCTCTGTTTTTTTTAAGGATGCAGTGTCAAAATACCAGGAAGTGACAAATAATCTGGAATTTGCTAAAGAACTGCAGAGGAGTTTCATGGCTCTGAGCCAGGATGTAAGTAAAGATCAAGCCATGCCATGTGGGTTTTCCAAACCTTTGGGCTTTAAACTTCTTTTCACTGGTGCAGTCAGTAGTCACCTCTGTTTACAGAAATTAATTGGTCATGGTTTCTTGTATGTTTGACTCTTTTATTCTATATATTAGTTGGTGTCAGGTTTTCCGAAGACGATTTCTAAAAGATTTTCCTAATGCACTACATAAATGTATGGAAACAAGACTAACGACATAATTTTCTGACAGAAAAATCAGTGTTGAAAACAGTGGGATCACAGAACAGGCCTGTCGTGCAATGTTATAGGTGGTCACTTGCTGCCAATTTTCTTTAAGAAAGGATTTCACAGGCCTGCTTCTGACTCTGGCAGGTTACTGAGGGCTTTCATTTCTTGATTTACCACATGGTATAAAGTCTCAGCACCTGAAAGCATTGCATTTCCTTTTTTACAAGATTCTCCCTGTCTTGTTAATTGCAAATAGTCTGAAACTACAGTCTGAGACAAGATGAATCTTATTTTCACAAAGGATAAATGAACTGAACACTAGTAAAACGAGTAGTCTTTTGTGTTGGTGTTTCATCAAGGATGCAGAATAGGTGTGATCAAGAATTCAGTTCTAAAAAGTTACGGAAGGAGCAGCAACACTGGAGGGATTGGTTGTGCAGTGGGTGTTAGTGCAGCAGACTGGTCTAATGAGTGTATTTAGTTTGTGAACAGACTATGTGATAATTTGAAGGGCATCAGCATCCATGTGTTACAAATGGCTTTCTCCGTTTGTTGTGGCTGTAAATATGTAGGACTCTAAACCAAGCTGTTCCTTTGCTTTTCTTGCATCAGGGTTCCATCTATGTTTATGGAATGTTAGTAATGGAGAACTTGTCTTTTCTCGGCAAGTTTGTCCTGAGGTATTTCCCTGGTCAGCTGACAGCAGTCAGTGAACCCAAATTGGTGCTCTGCTTTCAAACTTGGTTGCAGTTTTTCCTGATTGGAGTTAGTTCTCATGCAGTTGATTTTAAGATATGTCTCTGATGTTAAAAAAGAAATTTAGATGTTTCAAAGAAAGGAAGTTACTGTCACAAGCTACATTTTTGGAAAGAGAAGATTTAAGCTAAAAAGGTAACAAGCTGAATTTGGGATACTTAGATTAAGAATAGAGGAAACATCCTGTAGGTTCAGACTAGTGTTTGCATTTAAGACCTGTGTTGGGACTGTAGGTTTAGAAGGTTCAGTGCAGAGCACAAGGTTTATGATTGTCATCCACTACATTCCAGCATCTGTGAGAATGCCAGGGTAAATGCAGATTTGTTCCCTGTAGTGTCTGACTGGGGACCTCATGTCCAAGAATTCCTTTAAACCTTTTTGAACTGGCTGATCCCATCTATCTCCCCAGCCTTTCATGGCAAAACATTCCATGAGTTCCCTCCTGTGGTACATGAAAAAGCGAAGAATACTTTTGTTTCTCTGTTTTAAGCTGCTCTCCTGGTAGTTCCAATGAATCCCTCCTCCTATCATGGGATATGGTGAATATCTCTGTACCTTTTCTTAGCAATAAAAGCCATTTGCAATCTGTTTTTCCCTTGGGATCCCTCAGATCCAGAAGACAATAAAGAAGACAGCTCGCAGGGAGCAGCTGATGCGGGAGGAGGCTGAGCAGAAGCGTTTAAAGACTGTGCTGGAGCTGCAGTTCATTCTGGAGAAGCTGGGGGACGATGAAGTTCGCAGCGACTTGAAACAAGGCTCCAATGGGGTCCCAGTGCTGACAGAGGAGGAGCTCACAATGCTGGATGAGTTCTACAAGCTGGTTTACCCCGAACGAGACATGAACGTGAGGTAGGGTTACAGCAAAGAGCTTTTCTTTCTGATTGTCAGTCACCTCATGTATTTACTGTAGTAATTGAAAGATTTAGTAAGAAATTAACTCTTACTAATTATTTTTTAAGGTTGAATGAGCAGTATGAGCAAGCATCTGTTCACCTGTGGGACTTACTGGAAGGGAAAGAAAAACCAGTTTGTGGAACAACCTGTAAGTGTAGCCTCAGTATGAAGAGAGACAGCACACTGAATTTGTGCTTGAATTACAGTACACTTCTGATATAAGAGAACTTAGACATCTACTTATCTTTGTGAGTTTTTAGAGTAACTACTTTTATTTCAGATCTTGGCTGGACTAACAATGACTTCTGAAGTGTGGGCTCACTGTATAGTGTATTTTTTTCATACTGACACAGCGTTACTCAGTATTTAACCTGCTGTTTCAGCAGTATTCTGCTGCTGGTGGTGCTTTGTAGCAATTCTTTGTTTTCTGGAAACCCGTGTGTGAACAAGGAGCTTTGTCAATAACATCTAATACATAAACTTTATTGGCCTTCATTTATTGGCCTCTCTCCCCCTTGGCTCCTGCAGAAAGCGTTCTGGTTTTGCCATATTTCCATTGATGAACTCTGCAGACCAGGGTGTGATCATGCCAGTAGTTTGCTTTTTTGCAGAAATAAAAATCTCCACAGTAATCTCCAGTAATGCTGCCTTGACAGTGCGGCTGATTTCTTTTGGGTTAAGATGCCCAACCACTCATCTAAGGCATTGAATAAAAGTGGCTTTGTTTATAAAGGCTGATTTAAGCCACTTTACCACAGAGGAAGAATCTTCACAAAGGTGGTACCTGTGTAAATTTGTTTTGTAAGAAATTGTTTTACAGTAATGTTTTTTTAATGAGGAAATTACAAACAAGTCAGAGACAGTTGAACGTTCAGTGAGTTTTGAAAACTTTCCAAACTGAAAACTAAGCAACCAGAGATGATTTTTTTAATAGCAGGAATAAAAGAAAAAAACCCAACACTTCGAAGTGTTTCACAAATCTTCTGAGGAGTATTATATGCTCTTAAGGTTATTCTTGTCCTTAAGAAAGTGCGTTATTTATTGATTTATTTAAAAGAAGTCCTCTAACAATAGTGGTCATGCATTAGCTTGGGACAGCAACATCTCCCCAGCAAAAGGGTAGTAAAATTTCTGTGATCTTAGGGAAGGAAGGCAGAGGTTATTAGGATTGGGTTAGTGTTAATCTTTCACTTGTACTTTCCTAGACAAAGCCCTGAAGGAGGTGGTTGAACGGATCCTTCAGACCAGTTACTTCGACAGCACCCACAACCACCAGAATGGGCTGTGTGAGGAGGAGGAGGCAGCACCTGCCCCTGCAGTAGAAGACACTGTGGCAGAGGCTGGTAAGAACATCAAGATGCCTGGGAGTGAGGTGTTTGTGTTGTACTGGCTTGTCTCTGGGTTCCTCACAATGATTACATTGCAAATTAAAGTTCTGCCTGTCTGAGGCTTTCCCATATTTCGGTCATTCCCACCGTTTTAATCCTTTGTTAGGAGGGAACAGTTTTGAAGCAAAGTCTTAAGCTTACACACTTAAGCTTGGGAATAATGTATCCAATTTTAAGAAAAAATATGGAGAAAATAGAAACTTGGGGTAGCTGAACATGACTCTGCCCAGCAAGAAGTTAATGCGGGTTTTTTTCTTGCTAATTCAAAACTTTTTTTATTTTTTTTATTACTAGTTCTCTGTTATTGCCCCTGACATTTTCTCTTCATTCTTAGATACAAGAAGAGCATTTTCCATCTAATTTTGTATCTTCTTGATCTGTAACATATGTGGGTGGTTGGGTTTTTCTGTTTGATTGTTTTTGTGGGATTGTGTTGTGGGTTTTGTTTTTTGGGGTTGGGGTTTTTTTGTTTGGGTTTGGTTTTTTTTGGGGGGGTCTTCTCTTTGGGTTTTTTGCTTGGTTTTCTTGTTTGATTTTCTTATACAAGGTGTTTTTTTCCCACATAAATTGTGTATTTCTTTTTCTTACAGAACCTGATGCAGCAGAAGAATTTACTGAACCAACTGAAGTTGAATCAACTGAGGTATTATTCACTGGAAGGATTGTCATTTTGTATACCTTTAATGCCACTTACTTTTACTTTCATACCCTTTCTTATTTTTATTTTAGTATGTAAACAGACAATTCATGGCAGAGGCTCAGTTCAGCAGTAGTGAGAAGGAACAGGTAGATGAGTGGACAGTTGAAACGGTTGAGGTAAGATCTTGTGTACTGCAGGTAAAATTGCAATCCCTGTTTCTGCTGGCTCACAATTCATGAGAGGTTTTAGTATTGCATCCCTTCTCCCCCAATATATAAAAAAAATACGTATGTTTAAGTAGGCTTGGACTCACCACTCATTCTTTAATTACATATTTAGCTCAGGAGTAACTAAAATAAAAAGAAATAAAACTTATGCAGTCTGGCTAAGTTTACAGAGAACTTGCTTTTGTTCATTAGTGGCTTGCTTGGGAAAACAGGACTTAAAAGTCTTGGACTTAAAAAAAAGACTTGAAATAGTTTTTTGAAGCCTTTTTTTTTAGGAGAACTTAGCTGCTAATACAGAACTTCAAGTTTATCTGCCCAGCTGCTGACAGCATGGCATAGTTGTGCTTTCATTGAGCAGGTCCATGGAGAGGGAGCTGAAATGAGTAACTCAACTAATAACCTCCTCCAGGTTGCTTATGTGCATAATTTTATGTTAAAATATGCTTGTATGTCGTCTCTGCTTCCAAGAACTACAGTTCCTCGAGTATTTCACTTGTTACTACTTTGCAGTTGAGTGATTGTTCACTTGTGGTGTTTGTGGTACACTGGATCCATTCCCAGTTTAGTGATTTATGCTCTAGAATTTATGTTCTTCATGTGCTGGAAAGGACAAGTCCCATGGAGTCATTCAAATGTTTGATATGTTGGAATTTGAATTGTGTCCATCTATTAGAAACAAGTATGAGCAGCACCTTTCAGGTGCTGGAAATTTCATTTTTTCATTCACTTTACCAGCAAATTCCAGATTGTCAATTTTTTAGGCTCTTCCTTGGTGTCTTCAGGCTGTTTTAAGTGTAGGAGTGCAGTAAGTGTTCAGCATCTTGTGGTGAAAAAGAGAGCAGCCATTTTGATCCTGCCTGATTTTACATGGAGTTGGGCTGAAATTTGTATCTTAGGGTGTTCAAGACCACTGAAAGATTTAATAATGCTAAGGATGGGTGTGAGGTTTCTAGAACTAACCAGACAACTTTGCTGTGGATGTAAATATTTGGTAGTTTATTGTCATGGTATTCCATTCCCTTACTTAAACCAAAAATATCACTGCTATTGAATGTGTTTTAAGAAGTCTTTTTAAAAACCTGAAGAAACCCTCCAAGCCACATGTAAAAGTCATGCTCAATTGAAGTATTCTTAAAAGGCACAGCATTTTAAAATTATTGATTGGCTTCAATCTAACTTCAGTTACACCCATAATATATCTGTGTTTACACCAAGTGTCCAGAGTGGCTCAGTTCTCTGTAGTTCTTAATGCTATGGATGAAGGCACAATTCAGGTTGTAAATTTGTATCTCAGATTTCAGAAGCTCCTCATTTTTCATGCATCTTTACTAGTCTGCTAAGTCTTCACTGTCTGAGCTTTGTTTTCATAGAATAATACAAAGAATATACACTGAGGTTGTCCTTTCTGTCCCAGTATCTTGGACACTGTAAAAAGGAATCATGTAAAAAAGGGAGAGTTGAAGACTGTTTCTTTGTAATTAAGAACCTTATTTTCTCAGATGTAACATAAACAGGGAAACTGAGAATATCTGCCTTTGACATTAGTTTTGCTGCCCTTACTGGCATCACAATCCCATTTCTCATGGGAATTCAACTGACTTGTCCTTAGGGAAGCTCATGGTGCACAATGTACAGAGCTTTTGTGCTCTTCAGCTCAAGATGGTTGTGGCATTAATAGAGTGATAGCTGGGAATTTTGGAAGCTGAAAGAGAACATTTGCTCAGAAAATCTCCATAGTTGTTCCTGAGGAGGAAGGATATCATAAACTCATCTCTTTTTCAGTAGATGGGATACAGTCACGATTTCTGTGGTATGTATGGGCCTTCTGTAGTTTGGAATTAAAGAATTTGCTTGTGAATTTTCCAAGTGTATTTGGATTGTATGATGTTCTAATTTCGGTGAATATGTCCTTTACTGGTAATAGTATTTGTGGAGTTTTGTGTTGTTGTTTAGTGGGCTTCTAATTGATTTTTTTTTAAGTGCTTTCTTTGTAATAAGGAATAACCTGAATCTGTTCGTATGCAAAATTCTCTGTCTTAAATTATGGAGCGTTGGTTGGATGGATTTTGTGTCGAATTGGAACCTGTTCTCAGGAACCTGCCAGAATATGAGTTCATTCTGGTTGATCTGTGGTCTCATTAAGCTTCTGGTTTTCCATTTCCCCCTCCTTTTCCCTGGGCCTTCTGTGCCCTGTCAGTCTCCTGATTGGGTCTGGCGGCTCTTTCTGCTGCCAGTGTCAAGGGCAGGGTGTCAGAGGGGAGCCTGCAATTTGAGTCAAATATTATTCTGCCGACAGGTTCAGCTCTCCTGAAATAAAGTTGTGCTGTGCTGCGCTGTCCCCAGGATCAATGGACATGCATGGTCAGGAATAATTTGCTTTTTGAGTAATGATCCTTTTATTTGAGTAATCTCTGTACCTTTTCATGCATCCCTGTTAGAAAGCTGTTAAATTTATAACTGTCCTGTCCATTGGCAACTGAACACACTCATCTTGAAATTTATTTAGCAGTCTCATCCTACTATGATTGTACTAGGTCCAAGTACCTGGTGGTGCTAATAAGACTGAAGGAATAGGCTCTAAACAATCACTCTTGATGTTAAAAGAGGAGTTTTGAAAAAAAAGATGATTTACAATCTGAAGCACCATCTGAAATTCGTACTGTACTATTGGTGAAAAAGGAAAATGATAACATTTTGTCCCTGTTGTGTGTTGTTGACGATTCCATCAGCTTGTATTTTTGTCCTGAAGATACTGGATTGTTATGAATGACTTGGACTTCATAAGTTTAATGATAGTGCTTAAATAATTGAGAGTATTTTTGGTAATAATTATGGAGGAGACAAGTAGCTGATGGTTATACAGCTCAAGTTTCACCCAGTGATCTGGCTTGTGATTTTTCTTTGACTTTCAGACTCTGTAATGTGCCAAAGGTCTATATATGTGATCTGAATAACATTTTCAGATAATTTTTTTATTTCTTTATTTGGAAACAGTTAAGATTGTGAAACTTGGGGGCTGTGTGATAGACCAGAGCAGTTGTGCTTGGTACTTACATGGGATTTCTCAAATTGTTTCTCTGTGGATGGCTAATAGCAGTGATTTGGATCTGAAGGGAATCTTGAAAAGGGACTATAGGTTGTGGTTAGTTTTTAGTTTTGTTGATATTTTCTGTTACAGATGGCTAGGGATCTGGTCAGGGATCAAGTCACTGGAGTTGAGGCAATTGCATGTGCAGAATGTCGTATCTAAAAAAGGTTTGGAGGTATGAGCAAGAAGTAGGAATACTGGAAGATGCTGTGGGTTTCTTTGAGAAATCTAAAAAAAAAATTTACAGGCTTTAGTGGCAACTTGAAGTTTAAAGTTCAGACCTGTGATTATAGGACTGGTTTGTCATGTGTCCCAACTGCTGTACAAAAGTCTGTCTCCTGCAGTTCTAATGAGAAATCAGGTATTTCACATAAATATTTTGAACTTTCAGGTGCATGTATCCTAATTTATATCCTGTGCAACTGTAGGTTTAAGGCATTCTTGTTTATCTGGAAGGTTATTAATATTAGAAGCTCATGGGAATAGAGAAGTGATAGACAAATTATTGACAATGGTGTTGTTAAAGGACATTTGTTGACATGAAAAGGGCACTTCTGTATTCTGGGAGCTGCTTAAAGCAAAACTGGTTTAGGGACATCCAAGTGCTCCTTTGTGCAGCTCAACTGTCCTTGTTGCTGTTTGTTTTCAAACTCTTTGATGATGGATGTTCTCAGCTGCTCATGTCCAGCTTTCCTGGTGGCTCTGCTGTCTCTGATAAGGTGGTATTTGTTGCACATTTGATGTGTTGCCATATTGGAATCTGTCTGGTAAATCTGAGCTTTCCTGCCCACTGTGAGTTGTGCTTCTGCTTCTGGGCTTCTGGTGTCCCCCCATGGTGCTGCCTTGCAATCTTTGTCATGCAATGCTGCCTGCTGTTCCCTGAGACAGTAAATCAGTTTGCTAGGATAAAAGTGGCTATGAAAATTGACCATTTTGAAGTCTTAAAAAAGACCCAAAAATTCTGGCTCCACTTGCACTTACTAAAAATAATTGTTCCCCATTTGTGCATATTTCTGAAGCTTTTTTCCTCCCCACCTTTCTTTAAATTTCCAAATGCTGATAAATTGCTGTCTCAAATCCTGCTCTAAAAAATCCCCCTAGTACTGAACAAACACTTTATTCATGGGGAAAAGCATAGATGGAGAGAAAATAGAGCACTGTAATCCTATGACTGCTCAGATCAGTAGCTGCCACTGGTACTGGCATGACTGCAGGATGTAGTACTTTTCTTCAACACCACTACAGTAATTCCATCTATAATGAGTTAGGCAATAGCCATAAATTCCAAGAACTACCAAGTCACTTTTGTGTTGACTGGAGCTGAAATTTGAGTTGGTTGCTTGTCTCTTGTTAGGTTGTAAATTCGCTGCAGCAACAGACACAAGCGACATCTCCTCCTGTTCCTGAACCTCACACGCTCCCCACTGTGGCTCAGGCAGATCCTCTGGTGAGAAGACAGCGAGTACAGGACCTCATGGCACAGATGCAGGGCCCCTACAACTTCATGCAGGTATTTCTGTATTCTGAGTGCTCATATTTTTAACAGACAGTAAATTGGATTTGATTTTTTTTTTAATTGCTTTTTCATTCTTTCCCTTCAGGACTCCATGCTGGAATTTGAGAACCAAACACTTGATCCTGCCATTGTATCTGCACAGCCCATGAACCCAGCACAGAGTTTGGACATGCCACAAATGGTTTGCCCTCCAGGTTTGTAATGGTAAATCCTAAACATAAATACTGGGGAAGCCTGCAAGTCATCTGTTAAAAATGCTTCAGTTACTGCTGCAGAGTAAAAGGATCACCACAAGTAATGGTACAATCCTGGTCAAGTGTGTTTTTCTCAGAAAGGTATACTAGTTTTAGTCTTCCAGTTCTCACTTGCTTATAGGTTTTGCTTAGAAATGTGGAACATCTGAAACTTTTTTTTTTGAATGGACAAAATACAATTTTGCTTTGGATTATTTTGGACAACTAGAAAAAATGTACTTTGCATGGAGTTGGTAATTTGAGTATAGCTTTGGCATGCTAAAGGCTTCATCATCTTATTATGATTGGCTTTCAGATAACTGAAGCAGATAGGATAGTAATGCTGTTCTGTAAAAGGTTTGATTGTATAGTAAGCGAAGTTATTTTCTTTCAGTTCATGCTGAGTCAAGACTTGCCCAGCCTACTCAAGTTCCTGTGCAACCAGAAGCTTCACAGGTAAAATGTTTAGTACACTTTATTTTGGATTTGAGCTTTATATTCAGCCTGGTTACTGTTACAAAGGGATTTAATTCCTAACTGTATGAGAAACTCGAAGTTAACCAATTTCCCAAAATTAGAACTTTATCTCCATTATTTCTTCACCATTGTTGCTCAGAAGCGTTACTAGGTACAGATTCTGTGCTCTGCAGACATTGCAGATTCTCAGTAATGGAGTCTCACCTTTGCCTAATAGTGTTCCCTTTGATGTTAAGTCATGTGTAGTAGTACTTCTAATTTAGCTAGAAGCAGGTAGTCTTTTATTTATTTGCAACAGAAAGGCCAAAACAAAAATAACTTAGTTAAAGGGCAGCCTGTGTCTGTTCAAGTGAGTGTCAGCAGGAATAGATTTAAAGGATTAACTGTTCTGTTTTATTCACTTATTCTGTTAAAGATTATTCCCAGTTGCTTTTTGGACTGTGTTTTATACTGGAGTTGTATATTGAGTTGAATAGTATTTTCAGTTGAGCTTTAAGTAGAGCCTCTTAAACTTGATTCTGTACTGCATAAATGGTCCCCTTCTTGTGAAGATGCTTCAGTTTCTTACTGAGTTGCCTAGTGATTAAAGAACTTCCTAATTTTTTTTTAAGCAGTGTGTGGCATCTCTGAGGAATGGGTGTGATCCCTGTAGGTATTTGAAAGCCAAAGGAGAAATCTGGATAGCTTATGTATCTCAGAGTACTGGCAGTATAAATTGCCTGCTTTGTCCTGTCCAGAAAGAGCTGCAAGGTTTAAGTCACTCATTCATACAGGAACAGGAGTGAGGGTTTTTTCTTGAGTTTCCTCTGTAAGAACCTTCTGAAGTGTTGATGCTCTCCCCTTTTGTTGTTTTGTTGGCGTAGAATAATTTCTTTTGGCAGAGGGTTTTCTCTGCGCTGGCTTTTATTTTACTTTTAAGTGATATCTGTGACTTAATCCAGTGGGATTTTTTTTTAAATTTATTTTCCTTATCTCACCCAGTGCTGCCAGTGATTCTCTTGAGGATCTTACAAGCAGTAGCTAAACTTAGTCTTTCCTTCTGAACATTCCAACATGATGTGAACACCCCCATCAGTTATTATCAGTTTCCTCTCAAAATCCCCATGCCCTTAAATGCAAAGTCCTCTGCTTTGCTGGCTGGAGTTTTCACTGGACTCTTTAAAGGAGCAGAGGACTGAGCAGATTCAATCCATGGGAAGCCAGCACTTTGTCCACTTCTATATGAGCTCATGTTAGAATGTTGGTCAAGATGAGGTAGTTAACTCTGCTGGTTAAACAGTACTTAATAGCTCTACAGACTTGGACTAGAGAGTACCACCCATGCTGGGGGTTGTCACATACTTTCTGTAAAACTGTGGGTAAGCATCAGCTGACTTTTGGGGACTTTGAGGTTTATTTTGTCAGGTTCCCTTGATTTCTTCTACAAGTGAGGGATATACAGCCTCCCAAACCATGTATCAGCCTTCTCACACAGCAGAGCAATGGCCACAGAAAGAATCAATTGACCAGATTCAGGCAAGTCAGGTTTCAGAGGGGTGGGAAGGACTCTCCTGGCAGGTATTATCAATATTAGTCTATGTTTCCTTGTAAAAAGCAGTAGTTTTAGTTGCCTGTTAGTAGGGCTACTCCAGTTCCCTTTAATTTCAGAATTTTGAGCCGATCTGTGACCAGTAAATCCTTCATAGTAAGGCTTAATTTGCAAGATTGATTGTTTAGTTAGATTCAACGTGCCAGCATTAGTTTGTGAGTGTCAGTGTTGGTGATGGCTTAGGAAATGTGAATTGCTTTTTACATTGGCCAGCAGTTAGCCCAGGAAATACATTTCCTTTCTTAAGTTTTTCTAGTTGTGTTTCAAGTCAACAAGGGAGAAGGCTGCAAGGTTTTTCCTCTCTTATTGTGCTGTTGCAAATGATGCTGTTGAGCTGAAGTAGAAAATAGTCATTTGTAGAGCTGAAGCTCAGGCATTGCCACTTTTTTTTGGTACCTCAAAAGCTGCTAAAATGTTGTTTTGTTTTCATTCTTAGGCTTCAATGTCACTGAATGCAGACCAGACCCCATCCTCATCATCACTTCCCACTGCATCCCAGCCCCAGGTGTTCCAGGCTGGATCCAGCAAGCCTTTGCATAGCAGCGGAATCAACGTCAATGCAGCTCCATTCCAATCCATGCAAACAGTAAGTAAATAATAATAATAAAAGAAAGAAATAAAATAATGCAAACTAAATCAAATAATGAATTCTTCTGTTTTGGTGGTCATTCATTTTGTTGGAATCAGTCATGTAGCTGCATAGAATAGTCTTTGGTTATTCACATCTCTTAGACTTTGCTACTTTATGTGAAAAGTTGTAAAGATTAATTGGACCAGAGAACCGTTTTTCTACCATTACAGGTATTCAACATGAATGCACCTGTTCCTCCTGTTAATGAGCCAGAAACCCTTAAGCAGCAAAATCAGTACCAGGCCAGTTACAACCAGAGTTTCTCCAGTCAACCTCACCAAGTAGAACAATCAGATCTTCAGCAAGAACAACTTCAGACAGGTAAACTTCTTTTAGCAAAAGCTAAAATGGCAACAGCCTCAGTGTAGAGCAGGTGCTCAGGCTGTGAAGGCCTAGAGGATGGAGCGAAGCATGTCACATGTTCTCAGATGTTCCTAGTCTTGCAAAGCTTTCCCCTGACAATACCAGGTTTTGTTACTCTGTCTCAGCTTGAATATCCAACAGAGAGTGAAATTCAGTATATCTTACCTCCAGCTGTTAAAAGAATTTTGCCATTTGATTGGGTTTTCTCTGGGTGTAAAAAAAGCATGAACATGATTATTCTAAAGTGGAAGCAGTAGAGTGGAATACAAGGTTGGAAGATTCTTAAACTTGCTTTTAAAAAAATTATGCTATTTGAGGGGGCATTTTATACAGGAGATAGAATAGTAAGGCAGAAGTGAGAGCAAATGTGGGCTGCTTCTCACAGATGATGTAAGGTTCTCAAAGGGCTAGAACCTTCTGGTGAAATCAGTGAGACAGGTTTTGAATTCAGCAGGCAAAACGCTGAAAAAATCAAATCTGTATCCAGAGTCCATTGAGATGAAAGTTGCAGATGCAGAGACAGAGTTAACATGGGTGAAGTGCTAACAATACTGGGTATGGAGTAAAGAAGAGCCAGATCCTTTTCCTCTCTAACTGAATATTGAGTTTGAAGGGAGTATATGTGGGAACATAAAGAAATACAGACTTCATACTACTTTTTTTCCCTCCCATTGCACTGCAGTGGTTGGTACTTACCATGGATCCCCGGACCAGACTCACCAGGTGGCAGGCAACCACCAGCAGCCTCCCCAGCAGAACACTGGGTTTCCCAGGAACAGCCAGCCTTACTACAATAGCCGAGGGGTGTCCCGTGGGGGATCCCGCGGGGCCCGGGGGCTCATGAACGGTTACAGGGGACCGGCCAACGGATTCAGAGGTGAGCAGCTGCACAAGCACTCACTGAATGTGCACCTCTGTAGCAAATGTTAAGCTGACCTGCTATTGTTAGACTGTAATAATATCTCTATGTGATATTTAAATTTGTAGCAAAAAAACCACTTGCTTCAGTTAAGCAACTTAAATTTTAGGTGTGGGTTTGGACGTCCTATGAGGATATCAGGATGTATTAGGCATTTACTGCAAGTATAAGCAAATAACAGAAATACCCAACAGAATTTCAAGTGAGGAATTTAAATGCTAGTTGATGGTTCAAAAATGGTTTTTATTTCCATTTGTGGTAGAAGTAGTGTATTTTAGAGTTCTGTGTTTGACCATAGTCAGAAGAGACTGGGTGATGTAGAAGTGTAAGAACAAAAGAGTCTCAAAGTCACTACTCTGAAGGAATCGACAGGAGTGGAGGAATGATGCTGTAGTTGAGTAAATAAGAGAATTTTCATGATTCCCGTAGATGATTATATGTGGCTGTCATTGTTAGAATGGGAGGGAGAGATGGTTTCCTTGTCAGGTGTTCTGGGATTAGATTAATGGACACAGGTACTATCTGCCACGTTCTCTTCCTCTCCTGTGGCTGGGAAATAGAGAAGAAACCTGTATAATAAAAATACAACTGATTGTAGTATGAGTGCAGCGGTCACAGCTGTTAGATACAGATCCTAGTATTGTGGTTAGTTCTGGATTGAATATTCTGTAAATCAAACCTCAGATTACCAGAGAAATGCACTGAATTGCTTTTTCCTCCCAGTTCTTACTAGATCTTTATTCTTGTTTCTTGTAATAGTATTAACCCTGATGTTGCAAACATTTGCTTGACTTGCAGGTAAACAGCCCTTGCTAAAGGGGTGGGGGTTTTTGCTCAGGTTTAGTTAAAATCCTGTTACTGCAGGAAGTCAAGTAGTAAGTTCCTATTTTCAAGTGAAAGACTTGTGCCCTGTTCCTTAGGAGGATATGATGGATACCGTCCTTCCTTTTCCAACACTCCAAACAGTGGTTATACGCAGCCCCAGTTCAATGCTCCTCGGGATTACTCAAACTACCAGCGGGTAAGAGACCACAGTGTGGGGGGAAAAAACAAAAGCACTCAAATCTATTAGTGAAAACTCTGCCAAGGACTTCTTTTATTGCTAATGAACACAAACTACCTCAGTGTAGTTTGAAAAATTTAAACACTAAATACATCTATTTACATTTCTTATTTATATTGAGCAACACATCCTGTAACTGGAGAGAGCATTTGTCATTGCACATTTTATTACAGCTGCTAGGCACTAGTAGAAGTAAGAACTAATTCTTTCAAGATTAATGCAGACTGATAAAATGCTGCACGTTGAAGTCACAGATGTTTTGTCAGTGTATGCTGCTTTAAAAGCTCCTTATTTTATTTGCAATTAATAACAGTGCCCATGTTTTATGTTGTTACATTTTTAATTTCTTTGCCTCAGGATGGATATCAACAGAATTTCAAACGTGGCTCTGGACAAAGTGGACCTCGGGGAGCTCCTAGAGGTAATTTCCTGAGTAGTGAATAATTGATTTGGGCTGAATGGAAGTTTTTGATCCAACTTCCAGAGTTCTGGATTTAGAAAGCAACCTCACCCCTTACTCAGCAGTTCACAATTGAAGAATAAGTTTACTTTCTCTGACCTCAGAGCTGACCCTGCTTTTGAGCAGGGTCTTGGAGAACCTCTTGAGGACCCTGCTGACTTGAATTGTACTGGGATCCTTTGAACTTGTGGTGGAAGTTGTGTTGGCTGTTGAATGAGGAATTCCTGGAAAAGAGGCTAAAACAGCAATTGCTGTTGACACTTTAAATGTAGCAGAACTATTTACCTGCCTTTTATTAATGAAAGCCGTAGGAAACAAACCAGAAAAACCCACAGACATAATGAGGCTGTAGTAGAACTTTAAATTTTATTTTGATTACTATTGCCGTATAGTTTAGGAAGCCCAACTGTAATGAAGAAATTCTTACACAGTTTACATCAGAACATTTAGGAATATTTTTAAATGCTCAGACTTCATAGTTCAACCCCCTTTTTGTGTTTCCCAGGTCGTGGAGGACCCCCAAGACCAAACAGAGGGATGCCTCAGATGAACGCTCAGCAAGTGAATTAAACACGTTCACAGGATCACGTTCAACGCCAAAAACACGCTGGCCAGTGTACAATACATGTTACCAGAAGAGTTATTATCTATTTGTTCTCCCTTACAGGAAGTTTGTTGTAAAGGGACTATTTTCATTGCCCATAATGACAGGACTACAGTTGCCAGCTTTATATTACCTGGATATTGAAAGGAACGAAACAACGTTTACTCTGCATGTTCTGTCCTAAGCATCATCTTGAGCCTTGCACATGAGATTCAGATTCCTCACCCTTGCTAAGAATAAAGCAAAAAAAAAAGGCAATTTACAGGGTGATCCAATCTCCATGGTTAACTGAAGTGGCAGGAAAAAAGCAAAGACTCACTTCTGACATTTAAAAGCGATTTAACAAATTGGGATAAAATCTGCAAATTCATAAATATTTACTGTGGTGGCAATTGACAAAACTTAATATGCCCATGAAAGGATGGAAAAGGTGAAGTGTGGCTTGGTAGAGCAACTGCATTTCAGCTTTTTCTTATTAAATTGAAGCACTGAACAGTTAAAGATGTGTAGTGATGCAATTGCCCTCAATAGACAGATGGGCTTAGAGCCAGTTTTTGACAAAGAAAGCACCCTTAGCTGCAGCCTCCTCATCACCAGGGCCGTGATTCCTGTGGCTAAGGATTTAAGAGCGCTTGCATAACTGCTAATGTAACTGTGTAACTATTTTTTTTTTAGGAGAAAAGGAAAAAAAAACCCAAACCCAAAGCTTTGATTTGGCACTTCAACAAAATTTTGCAACAATTGTGAGATGTAATCTGGATGGCCACTGTATATTTGATGTGAAGTATTTAGGTATCTCTTTGAAACACTTTTAAGTTCCTTTGATAGCAATGACTTTTGTAAGGATTGGTATTCTCTATCATTCCTTATGACTTGCACATTGTCTGTCACTAATACTTGACCTTGCTGTATTATCACCTAAATAACTGATGCCGGTACTGATGGAAATCTCTAATGGATAATCATAACACTTTTGGTCACATGTCCTTTTGTCTTTCCTGCAGCCTTGAAGGTTTGAAGAAATCTCAAATGCCCGCTGCTGCTGCTGCCCTTTTAATTGCTCTCTTTTGAAAAGCACCAGTATGTGTTTGAGTTGATTTCCCCTTTGAAGGGAAATGACAGCCAGCAGTTACAGTTCTAATGGTATAAGCAAGACAAATAAAACATGTTTATAAAAATTGTATCCTGGAACACTGGTTTTCAACGACTGAAACAGATTCCATGTGATGGGGTGACATTTCATAAGGTTTTTTATTTGTTTGAGTTTTTTTCTCCCTAATAGTCTCTTTTTCCTGACTAGATGTAAATCCTCCTCCTGTTTTCCTGGTTTTTACTCTACTAGCTGTGACTTCTGGGAAACCTTTATTTTTATGGACTTTTCCTTTTCATCAAGGCAGCGATGTATAAAAGCAATGGCATAAGCCTGGGAGCTGGAAAATAACAAGTCTTACTCAAGTTTTACTGCATCCTTGTGGTATAATCCTTGGAAAAATCACTTGTGCCTGCCTTCTGCGCACATGCACTCTCTCTGCAGTGGGGAGAATATTTTGATGCTGCCTCCATAGAGGTGTTGGTAGTTCTGTTGCATTCTATAGCACATGCAAGAAGAAAAGTGCTATATACTCTATGTTAAATATTGCTCATCAAATAATTCCTGCCTGTGGAAAGGTGAAATTAAGGAACAGCTGCGTGTTGTTTAACTGTTCTATACAAAACTCAAGGTTGTTTTCACTCAGAACTCTCAGAACTTGCAGTCAGATGTTTTGACTTCGTGGTGGAACAACCTGGGACTCCGTACAAATAGGTGGTGATCTCACTTTTCCATGTCCTATGTGAAGAGCACAAATGAAAAATGGTTTTGCAGCGGGAAGTGATAAGTTTGTGAAGACAATATTCCACACCAGGCATCCTGAAACGGTGCTGATGTCTGGGAGCAGCAGTTTGAGTCAAGGCCTAAAAACATTCCGTACCAGTATCACAATCCAAAAACTGCAGCTGGGGAGAAGTTGCTGTTCTGTGTCTTTTTTAGGAGGTTATTACTGAGATAATAGTCCCAACTGTTTTTTAACTGGAAACAAATAAAAAGACAAACCTTTTAATGTCAAACTGATGTAGGAAAACAGTGAATTCCTTTAATTATTTTTTTTCTTTTTCGTGCATCAGCTTCCTGTTTAAATGGTTGGTAGAACACAAGCTGTTCAGCTTTTCCCATTGCACACCAAATGCTCCTTAAGTAGCTGATTGTAGTTGGGCAGTAAACATGCAGCATATTGAATTAAAGATTCCTGAATGGATCAGAACATTCCACTGAAAGTTTTGGGGGTTGGTTTGGGGTTTCTTTCCAACTTAAAATAAAATATTGGGTAGTTGAGGGGCCTCCTGACAAGTTGGTAAACGTTTTCTCGTGTGAGAACAGCCTTTAGAGCAGCTGCTCAGCTGTTGGCTGGGAGAGGGAGAGGAGGAACAACTCCATGAGAGGTGTTTAAGCTGGGAATTTGCACTGACTCCTTTCATCTCATCTAATAAACTGTAGTGAAAGCTCTTCTGGGGTCACCCTGTGGCACATGGGTCCACTCACTGTTTTTCTGGTCTGTTCAAGGGAGCTCCAAATTATCCTTACTCTGTAGCTTGGCTCAGGGTCTGAGTCCCATTCTGATCGTGAGCACTCCTAGGTATGTTTCCTTTGAAAAAGGTCATATCTTGAACCAAGACTGTTACAAGAAGTTAATCCTGAGGCAAAGTGATGGGATTTTGAGGCTGCTTCTATTGCAGAGCCCAGGATGAGCTGTTTATCCCATGGGGAAACTGATCCTGTGTTGGAAGGAGTGAGGATAACACAGTGCTGTGTCCGAGCCTGCAGGTACACACAGCAGCTGCACCTTTTTGGTGGTTTTACCTGATTCTTCCAAGAAGTGGTGTTTTTGGGAGAATTGGAGCCTAGTTCTGGCTGCCTTCTTGCATATACAGCTACCCTGAAAGTTTTATTTTGGCAGGGCCTTCGTTATCTGGGCGGTGATAACGTGCAGTGGGGTGTGTTTGAGAACAAACCTCTGCCTTCAGCCTCTTGCTGCTTCTTGGCTGTAATTCAAGGTTTCTTGAGCAAATAATATTAATGACTCAAATACTTCAGATGTTTATACCTATTGTTACTGTGTTTGGGGAACTCAGATCCTTCCTGGACATCCTACAACTTAAAAACTTAGAAATCAGAGCTGTTGTCTTATACTTGAGGCCAGTGTCCTGAATTTTACTTCTGTTGTTCCTGCGTATATTAAGAACACTGTACAACTTTGGGATTTTGCTGTGGAGCATTCTAAACTTCACTTAACTCCTATTTTCTTTCCAAGATACTGCCTTTTGCATCTCAGCAATCAGTAGTTGGAAGAGGATTGTTGGCTTCTTGTTTTAACCAGTAAATGCATTCTGCTGGGATTTGAAACTCTCGGAGAACTTTGGGACCTTAATGTGTCTTCTCAGAATGTCCTGCTGACCTTATTTTTGAGGCAGATTGATTGTGTTACAGGTCTTTGGAGAATGGATCGAGCTTCCTGCTTTCCCCAAATGGCATTTGAGTGACTTCTTTGGAGAGAAGTTACTGAAGAGGTTTTAACTGTAGATAAATACTGAAAAGATGATAAATGATACTGAAAAGTGCTTGAACTTCATATTATTAAAAGCAAATCTGTGGATATAATGGGGGACACAAGAACTCATTAACCAGCCCAGGTAATGAGGCTGCTGGTTCCATCTTGGATAAAAACATGTTATCTCTCTTGCTTATGTGAAACTTCTTGGTTAAAGCGTTTGCAAAGATGGAAATGGATGCTTGAAGACACAAATTTGTAGCTGGAGCTGAGGTTTGTCACTGTGAATTAGACTTTTAATTTCTGAAACGTGTTTCAATGATATTCCATCTGCTTTCCATGTGGATGGGACAGGAAAAGTTTTCAATCCTTGAAAATTCAATTCTTGAATATAATGCTATTAAAATTATTTGTGGCTCTCTGGGTTTAGCCTTAATGGAGGGAAGGAAATCTGTTTTCCAAAATCCACATCCTAAAGCCACTCTGAGCAGCACATAAGATAACTGTATTAGGAAAACTTCAGCCTAACTTCACATTTGGTTCTGAATTAAATTTATGGTTTGCTCTTGCTGCAGTTATTAATTTTAAAAGCCACGCTCTGTTTCCCCTCACTTTTTAATGTCCATAAAACAATGATGTGGGTGTAACTGGCTCAGTTCTCATTTCTATAAAATGTGTTCAAATAGTGGATCAAATTACACCTGGAATTTTGGTCTCAAGCTAAATTTTAGTCATTATCCATTAGACTTTTATTAAATGAAAATGTATTTTTTTTTTAAGCTCTCCAGTTTTAGAATAAATTTTAGCAATGCTTCTACCATATAAAATAAGTGTTCAGAGTTTTAGTTTCTTGTCAGGTTTAAATTTTCTGATGGCCTTAAACATACCTGTATATATGTCTTTGCAGTTCTTTAACTCAACGTTGGAAACCAATTGGTCCATGGCTTATGTAAACACTTGAAAAATAAATCTATTTAAATGTTTTATGTCCTTTCAAGCAAATATTTCGTTACCTATACCTTAAGGAATTGTCTTGCTACACTTCATTGGTGATTTTGTCTCAGTGACGGGGTCTATCTGGGTTCACTTAAAAAAAATACTATTCTCCAGCCTTTATTATTATTAATTCAGTAGTTTTATCATATTTTTGTTATATTTTAAAACAAATATCCCCAAAATACATCCAGTGGTATTAAACAAAATTTTCCTGTGATGTTACCTGGCTTTAAGTACTTCATTGTTCAAATGTTAAGTTAAAACCCAAATTTTGGCAGTATTAAAAGCTAAGAATAAATATATCTATGCAAATAGCTTGGCTCAACGTCAGTATTGAAAGGTCAGGAATAGTTTTACCGTCAGTTCGAGAATCAATGTCATGTTTCTGAAAACTCGCTGAAATTTCAAGTCAGGTTGATTGTTTTTTTCGTTGAAGCTCCACGGTTTTGCAACTTGGGATTTTATATAGAAAACTTTAAAACTAATGAGATGGTTTTATTAAACAGCAGAACTTAAGTGTTATAAGCTCTACCTATATTTATTGAGGAGCAAAATAACATTTTGGGGGATTTCATGGTTTGGTATCAGATAATTATGTATCCTAAAGGTTTGTTAGTTTCTGTATGTGTGTTTTGTTTTCTGTGGTCGTGTTTCCATGGGAAAACTGTGTCCAGGTGCCCTTTTATGTATAAATTTTTTTGTTTTCCTCTCTGCAGTCCCAAAGGCCACCCAGACTCAGTGTCTGGCTCACGTAAGACTGCAGTGGGTGGAAAAGAAATATCTTTATAAAATCAGAGGAACATGGTCTTTGGGGTTTGCAAGCAAGATTCCTGTAGAACAAGAAATTTAAAAAATAAAATGGGCGTTGCCATTGCGGCTGGAGTTTGGTTTCATCCCCTTTTTACAGCGAGTAACGCAAACCCCACCTAAATAAACCAAAACCAGCTGTGAGAGGTGAGGGCTGGTCCATGTCTGTGAGGGCTGTTGGGAGCCGGTTGGCCACAGGAGTGCGCGTAGTTCCAGTGTGTGTGCTTCCTCAACTCCGCTGCAACTATCCCGTGTGGAAAATTACCTTAAATTATTATTCTTTAAAAAAGAAATAGAGATGTTGGTGCAGGCGAACGGCGCGGGCAGCCCCAGGGTCCTCCCACGGCGCGCGGCGCCCGCGCTCTGCCGCACGTGACTTCCACGTGGTGCGTTGGGAGTGCCGGGAGCGGGACCCGGGATCGGGACCGGGATCGGGATCGGGAGCCGGGGAAGGCTCGGGGCGGCCCGCAGCCATGCAGCGCCGAAAGGTGGACAACCGCATCCGCGTACTCATCGAGAACGGCGTGGCCGAGCGACAGCGCAGCCTGTTCGTGGTGGTGGGAGACCGCGGCAAGGACCAGGTAACGCTGCCCCGGAGTTACTGGGAGGGTGGGGCGTGATACCGAACCGGGGGTTCCCTAATCCCCTGGCACAGGATTCTCCCTCCTGCAGCGGGGATTAAACCCGCCAGCGTCACGCGCGGGGGTTGGAAACGGGTTTTCGAGACCCTGCCCTTAGACATCGGTCTGAGAAAGCTCATGAGCATCCAGTAAAATCCAGGACAGGCAAATCGGATCTATTTATTTATTTATTTACCTGCTTTAAACTGGGGGAAGATATATTTAATTTTCCGGCCAACAGGAGCCAGGACAGGTTATTCATTTATTTGTTTGTTTGTTTATTCATGTATTTACTTTAAGCTGAGGGAAAGTATCTTTCATTTTCTGGCCGGCTGGAGCTTTCTTCCCTGTCTCAGCTCTGCCGTGAAACGCGATGGTTTTGGGCTCAAAACGTGCTTTTTGTACTCAATGGTCTTGCAGATGAACCCACTTGGTAGCGTTGTATGGAAGAAAGTAATTGCCAAACTCGCTTCATTTCGGAGACTAGGCTTGTGTTTTTCATGGGGGAGAGGGAAGAACAGCACGGCAAAACCGTGATGTTTTAGGATAAGTCAGGTCATAGAATCATAAAATTGTTCAGGCTGGAAAAGACCTCTAAGGTCACTGAGTCCAACCATTCCCTCAGCACTGCCATGCCCACCACCAACCCATGTCCCCAAGTGCCACATCCACGTGGCTTTTAAATCCCTCCAGGGGATTTGTAACTTAGTTATAAAAAACCTCGGAAAATAAGGAGTTGATCGGGTGGCAGTACAAGAAAATTGTTATTAATTTACTGGTGAGGTGGATGGGTAAGGTCTGTCAGGGCATATCCCAAGTCTGGTTGTGTTCAGTGTTTTCACTGAAATACTAAAATATTTTGTGGAAAATCCATTGTAAGATACAAATACTAGGAACTGTATTTAGCCTGGAATAATCTCCTTCTGTCAGAGCAGTTTTTAGCAGTTCTGCCAAAGAAGAGAGCTAAGGAAAACTGGGTATAAATCAATGTCATGCAGCCCTGGAGAAGGCGCAAGACACACGGGTCTGTGTGAAAAGGAAGGTCACCATCCTTCTATTTTGCACAGTAGAACACACAGGTATAAAATAAAATATGGACAGAT